GTTTTGTGACCTGGAAAATGTAGAATCCTGTTAACAACATAAGTGAAATGAGAGCTGATTGCCTGAATCTTCCATGTCCTGCAATTTACATACTGCATGGATAAAGCCAGGCTTTTGAGCTTGCCTCTGTCCCTTTATAACAAGTTTGATTCAACTGAGGGAAAAAATGAGAGTTTAGATCGCCAAACAAAAAGTATGATGTTCCAGGCAAGGCTGTGGTCTCTTCTTCGGAGAAACTTACCTGCTGGGCTGGAGAAAGCACATTTTGTGCTTTGATCTATGCTGAGGTAAGCCAAGGTAACTACAGTATTTGTAGAAAGGTTGCTTTTTTAAAATTTCATTTACTTTTTAACTGACAAATAATAATTGTATATAATATGGGGTACAATACGGTGTTTGATACATGTGTACATTGTGGAATGATCGAATCAGGCTAATTAACATATCCATCGCCTCAAATATTTATCATTTCTTTGTGGTGAGAACATTTAAAATCCTCTCTTTCAGCTGTTTTGAAATATACAATACATTATTATTAACTATAATCACCATGCTGTGCAACATGGTGACTATAGCAAACTTACTTTTAAAAGACCAATCAGTAAACAAATTCAGAGATTTTTCTTGATTTTTGTGGGCCCCAGTTGCCTTATCTGTTCATTGGGAGTTAATCTGTTAATTGGGAAAATGGTGGTTTCTAAAGATGCCTTACTGATCTAACATTCTATGATGTTATTTCTTTTTGTTTTCACTTATCTCACAAATGTTTTTTGATTACGTACTCTGAGCTCAGCTCCGAGGATATAGCTGTGAAAAATTATAAATTTTGTCTCTGCCCCTCTGAATTTTACCTTCTAGGGACATGGCAGGGAGGGAACAGACACAAACATGAATGGATTCATTAAATGAATAATTTATTATAATTATGACATGTGCAGTGAAGGGGAAATAGAGGCAGGCTGCTATGACCTAGTTCAGCAGGGTGATCGGGGGAGGTTTCCCTGAGGAGGTAACATTTAAGACCTGCTTAGTTCATGGGAATCAGACTGATGAGGAGAAAGAGGCATTCCTGGCAAAGGCCATGGGGTGGGATCAAGTCTGGCACAATTGAGAAGCAGAAAAATGCCCTTTGTGTCTGAAGAGAAGGGGAGGGGACACATGGCCTGGGACAAGCTGGAGAGGAGGCAGTGGCCATCTTACGCAGGGCCAATAGCAAGAATTTACATTTTATTCTCATGAGAATGGGAAGCCATGGAAGGTTTTAAAGATCACTCTGAGGATGGATGGATAGATCGATAAAGATAAGCAAGTATAGTCAAATGCCAATGGTACAGCTGAATTTAAGTGGTGGGTGTAAGGGTGTTCACCTAAAAATTCTTTCAACTTTTCTGTATGTTTAAACATTTTTTAATGACATGTTGGGACTAATCACTCTGGCTATAGTAAGGAGAATGGCTTGAGGGAGGACCAATTTGGCTGCATAGACAGCAGCTGGGAAACTGTTGCAATAATCACGGGGTGGGGTGATAGTGGCTTGGACTAAAGTGGTGCTATGGAGATGGTGAGAACTAGACAGGCCCTAGAGATATTTACAAGGTAGAATCAATAGATCTCCTGATCAATTTTGCCTCAGGGTAAGGAAGAGGCAGAAATCAAAGATCACTACCAAGTGTCTGGTAACTGTAACTGGGTGGATGATCATACCAGGTATAGAGGCAGGACACACTAGAGCAGGAAGACATGTGTCCGAGGGAGAGGGTGGAATGAAGAGCTCTGTTTTAAATATATTCGTATCATAAACTATCCTGGTGGAGATGTCATATGGGCAGTTGGTTCTGGTTTTGCAGCCGACAGGAAGGTCTGGGTTGGAGATGAGAGTTTGAAGTTCAAAGTGTAATAAAACCTTGAGAGTATGGTTCATAATGCCTGAAAGGCTGTATAACATGAGGAGAAAAGAAAGGCTAGGCACTGAAGAATCCAACTTTTACCAGTTGTGTAAAGAATGAGCAAGGACAGAGAAGGACAAGGAGTATCTACAAAACAAACAAAAAAAAATCAGGAGCATTAAAGAAGGCCTCTATTGGTGGGTTTTTGAGTTGTTTCCAATATCTTGCAATAAATGCCCTTGTATATACTCATTTCTCATATATACATCTATCTCTGTAAGGTAAATATCCAGAAGTGGAATGGCGGGGTAAAATGTATATTTAATTTTAAATTTCAAAGTGTTTACTTTTGAAAGAAAAGATTGCTTACAAAAGCTACTGAATAAAGATAGTTTACTTAACCATATTTAATGTGCAGTTGATAAGACTGAATAAATAACTTTGAACTATCCTTATAATGTAATAACCTGTAAGCATAAAAAAGAATGAGACTTTCAATATACTCTAACATGGAAGGGGAGAGAAGATTTACTTTTCACAATTTTGAACTATTTGAATTCTGTGCTATTCACATACATTACATATACTTAAAAATATTATTTGTAACTCTATCCCATACTTTGTAAAAGAGAGTGACCTAAAGATCAATTTGCCTTTTATTTCCAAGAGGAACACCAACAGGTTCCTGATAGACTTTTGCATACTTGGGTTTTGTGTCACAGAAACACCTAGTTAGATGTTGGATTTTATGAAACCATGATACAGAGAATTGTTCTAAACCATGATACAAAGATCTGAACACATAAAGTTCATGCTCTTCTTGAGTTCAAGTTATATATTTTGAAATTTATTATTTTGCTAAATTTATTGTTAGTGAATAAATTCACTTTGTTGTATCTACTTCAGAGATGTCTCCAGACTTCACCATCACCACCCTCTCACCTCCCCTAAAAATGTCACTGAAGACAGAACGAATCACATCAAGTCTGAAGACAATTTATTTTTCCTGTGTGGGAAGTAGTGATGATCTAACACTTTTTGTTTTCTGTTTTTAAGAAGGGCAGCATAGGGATATGAGTGTTAATTAAAAAAAAAAAAAGTACCATGCTTATTAAGCTATAGTAGACGAAAAACTTCAATTTTCTAGAATTAGATGGCCTATTTCTAAATAATATCGAAGATGGATTGCTTATTCCCTTACTAATAATAACACAAATATATTCGTAAACTAGTTTTCAAAATTCAAGACGTCTAGAAATGTGGAACAACTAGCTAGAATAAGCCTGAAGTTCATTCTTAGCTCTCCTAATACTAAAATTCAGTTTCTACACTTTTAAAGATTTTATATGAATTCAAGTGAAAAAAATGAGCTGAGGGACTAGAATGTGACCCCAGAACATACCTGAGCCAGGTATGTTCATGCTCAAGTAATCAGACTCTGTTCCACCTTTCTTGACATATGCCCTCCTATCTATCTTGATAAGCATAGGATCATGCCAAGGACTGCAGTGAAAAGAACACTGGCCTAGGAGTCACACCCCAGATTTAAGTCTGGATCCGGTAACAGCCTCTGTATGACCTTGGGCAAGTTATCTCAGGTCTCTGGGGTTCAGGTTTAGAATCTGCAAAATGAGGAACCAGGTCTGAGGTCCCTTCTAGCTTTAACTATCTTTGCATGTAAGTTTGGTGGCTCAAGCATCTGGAATTCCAGGTGACAGAAGGTATGATAGATTGAACTACTGTCCCCAATTCTGCACCCCTTCCTATGTGCTTACTCATTCATGGCTTCATTCTGGGCAGAGCATATTTCCCTGCCTCTTGACTTTGAGCTTGGCCATCTGACTTCCTTTGACCAATGGGTACCAGTAGACATGACACAACCAGGGGCTCAAAATGTGCTCAAGCAGTGGGGCTCATCTTATTGCACCTCTGTCATCATCATGCTCTGGCTATTCCTTTGGCCTAAAGAGGATGAGAAATGAGCAGCCAACCTAGACCTCCATGCCTATAGCAGGAAGCAGAGATGCTCTAGCCAACCTCTGTAGCCATGAGAAGAAAGGATTGTCATTTTAAGCCACTGACATTTGGGATGGTTTGTCATTCAGCATTATTATCAAAATAGACAACCACTACAAAAGGAGATAACAAAAACTCAGGGAAGGAGAAAATAAGGGAGAGAGAGCAAAGAGAATCCATGACTCTTTCCCATAACAGGACAAAGGAGAAACAGAAGTGCAACAGCAAGAGTATCTCTCTTTCATTAAACTAGTTTCATCAGTGAACAAATGTGAAAAGGTGTATCTATTGACCATTATTTCTTATTCCCTTTTGGTTAATGGCTTAGAACATTTTATAAAATAAATGTTTACGACTGAGCTGTCTAATAGCTAAGGTCATCAGTAGGTGACCCTACATCCCAATCTCCCCAGGTCAATCTAGTTTACATCTGTCATTCTGGTATAATTATTTAGCTCTCTTCACTCTCAAAAGTAGGCTGATTTAGATGATAAATTCTACAGTCACCACAGAAAGCCCTGTCAGTCCATCCTGAGAAATTACCTAGTTAATCCACAAGTTTGCTACTATAACAGGACTACCCCCTCACCCCAGCAATCATCCCCACCATGCCTTCCTTGAATCACAGGCATTCCTAGGGAGAAAAGGGTGGCCAGTAGTATCCTTCCTCTTACTCTTCAAGTGATCTGTCTTTTCAGTGGTCCCCTTTCTCCTCAAAGCGTTTGAGGAAATGTAAAGTAACTCATAATTAGAAAAAGGTTGGGGACCCCAAATCTTAATTGTAGTTTCAAATAAGCTTGTGCCATTTCTCTTATGGTATAAACCCTATGAGCCATTGTACAATTTGCTTGTTGATAGGATGGTGTAGTACACTTTCTGTCATCCATTCAAGAAGGCCCTCATGGACATATAGAGGTACGTGTATTATTAGGCACTCGGCAAGACCCTAAATGTTCATACTGACATCTCTTCCCTCATGTCCCAATACTTTCAGGTGAGAAATGGCAGGGAAGCAGAGTCCTAGGTCCCAGCTTGCTACTGGTAGGAAATGGCAGCCAGATAGTCCCCAAAGGCCTCATTCTTGGAGATCTGGTCCCTTCAGAGCCTACGCTTTCCCATGCTGGAACGGAGCATGAGTACACCCTCAACGGGAGTCCCGGGGTTGCTGGCCATCTGTTGCCAAAGGCGTTGCTCTTCCCCCTGGGAATCCATCCAATCCACGTTCTTCCCATGGCTCACACCTGAAGAAGGAAAAAGGGAGCATTACACTTCACAGATGAAATATTTTGATCTCCTAAAAGGCATCTATCAACCTCTGAGGGGGCCTTTCAGTCAGAGAGCCTTTCGCTGGCTTGTTCTCACTTAGCATATCTAGTGAGTGGTGTTAGAATGGAATCAATCCTTTGCAGCCTGCACTACTCTCTTCTGTCTAGATGACGTGATACAAATAAGGATGGCCCTGGTGACTCATTTCCTCCCCTCTTTGGTAGTTTAGCAGAGAGCTGGCTCATCTGGACTGAGTTAACATGACAGAAGAATAGGTCGAACTGGGCTCTGAGGCTCTCTTTTTCTAACAAGGCCACATTTCCGATCTGGAGGGTATTTCATTCTAGGGGCATAGATACCCTGGCTCCCCTTAATCTATCTATAAATAAATAAAGCATCATAGGGGTGAGGTATTTCACAGCAGAAATGGTAACCATGGGACATTCAGGCCATCTATGTCTGGCCTAAGCCATGGGGTAATGAAAGTTTGGGGGACTGCACATAACCTACTACTGTAATCTCCCCTACCAATTCACCCTCTTATAGCTGTGTCTTGTGATACCAGTGGTGGGTTTCCTTGACCTGTTTTAACAATATTAGTTACTTTTTTAAGGAAAAAAAATGGATTTCATTTCAGTTCAACCAGTATGAATAATAGCTGCAAGTCTTGAACAGAAATGAGAAGATGATGAAGTAAAGTTGGTCTTGCAAGTTCATCTCTCCCTTGTCAGAAGACTGTGCTGTCTTGTGTTCCTCTCCCAAGCAAAACCTGAAGCAAGGCCCAAGAAAGTACTTGAAATTCACTTAGCCTAAAGTATAAATGTTAGTCTATGAAAGGACTAAATATAAACATTATACCTCCCAAACTTCTAGACTAGGGCTAAAAAGTCACAGTAGTAATGTTTGTATTTTAACAATGAACAGATCCTTAGCTAAAGAAATGGAGCGTCTGTGGTAGTTTTGGGATTCAGCTACAGCTGAAACTACATATACATCTATTTCACATCACACCTGCAGGAATCATGCCCCTACTCCATGCCCAGTCACAGACCATCACAGGGTCCCCAAATCCCTCACCGCTTCCAGAATTCAAACGAACTCCTCCCAGAAAGATGTTGCTGGAAAAGGCCTCCTTGTCCCAGATGGTAAGTTCTAGGCAAACATTCTTTAAGTCCTGGGGATGCAGGCCACTGAACACGAAAGTATGATTCCACTGAGGGTTAACGCTCTTTTTTATTACCAGAGTTTTGTGCTTGGTGGCTTTGTTATCATCAGGGAGCAGGTAGCTGCAGGGGAAAACACAATCAAGCCACCAGTGAGATAGTAGGCAGGACATGTCATCCTTGAGCAGGCATTTGAATTTCCCATAATTCCTTGTGTGTGTGCTCAAGTATGATATGTGTATTTGATTTTCTCTCCTAGGTTGATATACACTCAAATCTGGATTTATTTAGAGGAATGGCTTATTATCTCTTTCAAGAGGGGCAAAAGTAAAATGCTCTCCTTTCTAATTCTATTTTGATCCTTCTCCCCATCTTGAAAAGAAAATATCTCCTGTGGTAGACACTATTGAATACTCTGCTTCATATCGTCTTGGCCTTCCTGTGAGTTTATTTGTAGTTAAGATGGGCAGTTCCTGCATGCTTTCAGCTGCCCACCTCAAGCACTTCTGTATCTTGGCTTTTCCCATTAAGGATTTTCTCTGGTGTTGTGTGAGCGGGCTCAGCTTATGTGAGGGGAACTCAGAGATTTTAATGCCCCTAGCAGCAACCCATAACCAATAAGTTTTGGAAATTGGTGGATGAATCCCCTAGCTTCCCTGTCCCTCAAAGGGATAATCCTAAGGTGTATTCCACAGAGTTCCTCATTGCTTCCCCAGTGGAATTAAGCCCCAGTTGCCCATAGTGGTAACTTGCCCATTAACTTATCTTTTTATCAGCTTCCCTCCCTTCCTTGTCTCATTTTCTCCACTCTCTCACTGGTGTTTCCTGAAATTTCTTCCCAAATAAAATACCTGTACCCCAGGCCTTCTCTATTATGGTTGAAATACTGTACCCATTTCTAGGTTATGTGATGAATATAACCTTTTCCCTTGTTTAGGGAGCATATTTTAGGGAAGAAGCCAGATGTATGTATGGAATAAGTACATGTAACAAAAATGAAAAATACCACAAGCAAATGACTTTACAATAAAGATACATTAGGTCACTTAAGATTTCATTTCATGTAGCAAGCAGAGACTGCTTATCTCCTAATATCCATTTTCCCCTTATTTTTCTCTAAAAAATATCCCTGTATTTTTTATTTGGGTTGCCCAGAATAAAGACTATATCCTCCAGCCTCCTTTGCAGCTAGTATAGCCATGTGACTGAGTTCTGGCCAATGGGGTAGAAGGCGTAGGTCTGTATAAAACTTTTGGGAAGTATCCTGCCAGCTGGAATTTGGATGGGATAGCTGAAACTTGAGCAGCTATCCTGGCCCATGAGGTAGATATGATAACGAGATAGCAAAAAACTGGGTACCTGATAATCATGGTGTCATGATGCTTCCATACCTGCCCTGGATACCTTACTTTCAGTCTTTGTCTACATGTATGAGAAAAAACTTTTGTCTTGTTTAAACCACTGTTATTTTGGCTCACAGACAGATGTAATGTTAACTGCTATTTTTTATAATATTAAACTTTACAGAAGGGTCTACTCTTTCTTCTTCTTTTTTTAAATTCTCAGGTCCTTTTAAAATCACCTTAGTGTTTAAGTATAACTAAAGAGAAAACTAGAAAGTTACTTCCTTTCTTTTCTTCTTAGAACAAAGATACCACCCTTTACTTTTTTCTGCTTCATAGATTTTCAACATGATTAAGTGAAAACTGTTTCAGAAGATGTTAAGTACTTCTGCACGGCCACAGTGAGGCCACAGGCCAGGAGCCATCCCCTCATCCCACCAGATAGTGAGCAGCAGAGGTCTGATCTGGATGGGGGGACTGCTGAGGCAAGTTGCAATGGCAGGATCCAGACAGAGCATTTTTTCTATGCTTGTGTCTACTGCAAGAAAGAGTGAAGGCCAGATGGACTGGGATGCAGGCATCACATTCACCACTGGGGAAGCCCCTCAGACATCTGCCTCTCCTCACTACTGGCTTTACCGAAGTTAGAACAGGTGAGGGTAAAGGCTTGACTCATTTTCTTGTAGGGAAAATATACTTTTCCAAGACGGCTTGAGGAAAGGAACAATATTATCCTTTGACTCAAAGAATGAACCTCATGGTCTGGCATCATGGGAATTTGTTTTACCTCATGTGCTTTATGGTGCTCCATGAGGGCAGGGATTATATCTTATTTAGTTTTGAAATCACAGCACCTAATGCTTGGTACATATGCATTTGTGTGCTTGTTTGAAAGAATGAAAAATATCCTTCCAGTCCTAGTTCCTCTAATTCCAAGAGAAAAATTTCCAATAGTCAGAGATCAAGAGGGATTTGCTGTTTGGGTTGCCTATAATTGGGCAAGAATATCCATTTAAAGGGCTGTGTTCCCTCAGGAAACTGCCCTGTTCTATAGAAAGTGGACACAAATGCTCAGCAGGCAGTCCCAGAGCCTCTGCAAAGCACTCCCCAGTGGGTAAGTCCAGGGAGAATGCTCTGACATCTCAATTTTTTACAATTTCTCCCAAGAGAGCAAAACATCAAGGATTCAATATTTTGGTTGCTGTTGCATATTGCCAGTAACAAATGATAACAACACACAACATGTAGAAAAATTACATGTAGAAAAGCATACTTGCACCCCCACACACACACTTTGGGAAATGAATCTCACAGGAAAATTGCCAGTCTTGAGGGTGAGAGTGATGGGAACTCCTGAAATATATTGGAAACAGAGTGACAGAATAGGCAGTTCCCTCCACACTTGTATTGTTTTAGAGTAAATGCCAGCATTGAAGGGTATTTCTCTCCCAGTACATTTCCAGTAAGCAGAACATAGAAGACTCACAGCCATCACTGGCTTGTGGATCACAGATCATTTTTTTTTTTTATCTCCCATTAGGTATCATCTGAAATGAGCTAAAACAAAATTACCCCTTCACAAAGCTATCAGAAGTGCCTCCTGATTTCACTGCTGTCAAATTCTTTGCTTCTTTGATGAACACTTCTAGTATTCCTCCAGAGATTACAGGTGATTCCTTCTTCTTTCCCTTCTTAAAGGTCTTCTTTCCTGCATCAGCCACTGAAATGAGATAAAGATAGAGAGATGGGGGGGAGAGAGAGAGAGAGAGAGAAATCATGGGTTCCATTTCAAAATTTACAAATATCATCTCCAAAAATTCACTTCATTTGCTGACCAAATCAGGCCTTTACATTATTGTATATTTTGTATTCATTGAAATGTTTTTTACCCCATGGGACTTCTTCTGGATAGATCTTTCATTTGTGTTTGTTGAAAAAAAAATGTAAAACTTTAAACACTCCCCTACAAGGCATATCTTTTCACAGGGTATAAAGGTATGGAATGCAAAGGACCCTAAGAGTTTCCTAGGGCACCATTCCTGCTCTTAGTGAGAAATAGCTATGATGAAAGCCACACACAAGTGGCAAGACTCCAAAGGAGAAAATTCCTTAACTCGCTTCTTTGATATTTTAGTCTTCTAAATTGTCAGTTTCAGTTAGGGCCAGACCTAGAGGCTACAATCCGGGCACAAAGACATTTTAAGGTGAGAAAAAAACTCTTTCCCACCTCATATTTTTATTCTGACGAAACATGCAGATGATATCAACATGATATCAACCATAATATCAACCACCACCATGACCACCACCCTTATTTAGTACTGTTTTAAGTACTTTACATATATGAATCTATTTAATCCTCACAGCAAACCTTTGAGGTGAGGAAACTGAGGCCAGGAGATAGTAAGTTACTTGCAAAGGATCAAACTGAAGAGAGTGACAGTGAATGGGAGGACACAGGAGGCTACCTGCAGGAGCTGATGGAAAAAGAAGGGCAAGAGGGAGTTATAAGTTTACTCCATCTGTATTTTTCCTTTGCCTTCTATGTTCTAGGTCAGCTTCTTCCTCAAGCCTCCGTAAATAGCTGTGAATGTCATAAATCCACACAGCAGCTTCCTATACCCTGCTCCCAGCAGACTGTTCCCCTGCCCAAGAGAAGATCCTATATCTATCTCTGGGACTAACATAAAAAAATCTCACCGCCAAGGCTGGTTTCTAAGTATGAACTTTGCCCTTTTCTTGAAAGAATCTTGTACCCTTCCCTATACTTTTCAACTCTGCACAAAAGAGAGTGACTCTTAAACCTTCATGTTTTGTTTATATAATGTGAAGGTAACATAGTCCAAATAATCCCTGATCCCCATTCCCATACTTCTAGAAACAGAAAGTCATTGATCAAAGTCATTGATTTTTACACTACCTTGAAGTTGTTCTAGTGGAAACATCAGGTTCTCCTCTGGGGGAATGTAACGTAAAACAACTGTCAGCTCTCCTTTGTATTGAAGGCCAATATCAGGAGCGAACTCCACCTGGCCAAGGGGAGACAGTTGAAAAGAAAGAGTGAGAATGCTTGGCTTAGTATTTTGCAGCCCTCATGTGAATATACAATATTCACTTGTTGGCTTAAATGTGACAATTCATTCCTATTTCAACTACGTTGGCTCTTACTTTTTTAAGAGATGCCTTAGGTACGAGAAAAGAGAGACTGGAAAACTCTTTGAAAGCAGTTGCATATAACTTTTAACATTAAAGTGAAAGGAATTTGAAAGACATATAACACAAATTTGGTCAGTCAATAGATACTGAGTGCCTGTCACTGAGCATTCACATACAGTTCAGGATACGAGCAGGAATGAAGACGCCACTGAAACTAGCTCCCTGTATGTCTTTGATGTCTCAAAGCTTTCCTAAATGACCAAGGTGGGATTTATGTTGGGCTGCCAGCCACCAATTATTAAAAGCAATATTGGTAATTCACATCATGAAAATTCAATGTAGAGAAAGTGGTTCACTCAAATATTGCCGGTGGGGATGTAAAGTGGTGCAGTCACTCTTGAAAACCGTTTGACAGTTTCTTGTTTACAGCCAACTACCATACAACTCAAAAATTGTACTCTTGGGCATTTGTCCCAGAGAAATGAAAAATTATGTCCATACAAAACTTGTACACTAATATTTGTGTCGGCTTTATTTGTAATAGTAAAAAACTAAAAACAACTAGCTGTCCTTCAACAGGTGAATGGTTAAACTGTGGTGCATCCATACCATGGAATGCTACCTGGCAATAAAAAAAGAACAGAATATTGATACATGCAATAACTTGAATGAATCTCTAGAGAATTATGCCAGGTGAAAAAAGCCAGTCTTAAAAGGATATATACTGTATGATTCCATTTATGTGACATTCTTGAAATGACAAAATTATAGAGATGGAGAACAGATTAGTAGTTGCTAGGAGTTAGGAACAGGAGGAATGGGAGAAAGGGAGGTTTGGTTATGAAAGATCAACCTGATGGACACATGTGGAATTGTTCTGTGTCTTGACTGTGGTGATGGTTACACAAACCTACTCAGGTGATAAAATTTCCTAAATATACACACACAAATGAGTATAAGTAAAACTGGGAAATCTGAATAAAATTGGTAGATCATATTAATGTCAATATCTTGGTTGTGATATCATACTACAGCTTTGCAATATGTTACCACTGGGAAAAATTGGGTAATGGGTACATGGAATCTCTTTGTATTATTTCTTATAACTGCATGTGGATTTATAATCATCTCAAAATAAAAAGTTCAAGTTAAAAAATTCAATGTGCACATACACCCAGAGCTTCTGTTATATAGGTCTCCCACTTGACATTGAGTAAATTAAATGTTGAGTTTTCATAGATAGAGTAGGAAAGATAGAGTATATTCTAAGGCTTTTCCTTCAGGGATCTGACTTCTGAATCGAGGGCAGAGAACTGCTCTCCTCTAAGAGAGGGCATACTGGAAAGAGTTCAGAAAGCCAGCCCACTCATAGCAAAGCCAAAGGCTATTTGAAATTCAGCAATCAATCAATCAATAAATAAATGAGTGAGTGAGTAAGTAAATAAGTAAGTAAATAAACTGAGACCATTGCAAAGAAAAGGAATCCTTGCCTGACATTCATTCCTTTTCATTCCTGTTGTTGGTGGTAAAATTTATTAGTAAGGGTGGGAAAAATACTTAAATTATTTTATTCGACCTTCTTACCAGGGCAAAAATGAGATTGGTGATATGGTGAAATAGACTATCCATCTAATATTTAATCTGATTATTTTAGATCAAGTTCCTTGTAAAATGGCTTTTCTTTTTTTGTGACAATTTCAGTAAATTTTAGTTTACATGAATGTCATCGATAGAAAATTATAATGGATATTATAGTATTATATATTGAAGACGGTTACTACTTTTTTGATACTATCATCAATGAGAGCTGGGTATTTGTCCCCTGTCTTTGGGTCTGAGTGGGCTCTATGATTGTTTTGACTAAGAGAATACCGCAGAAATGACAATGTGCCACTTTGGGGGTATAGGCCTTAATATTGACAACTTCTACTTTCTTTCTTGGAATGGATATTCCTGATGTCCTTCTGAGAACCTATGCTGTGAGATTGAAGCCACAGAGAGAAGCCACAGGTATGTGCTCCAGTTGGCAGGTCTAGCTGAGTTGGCCAGCCAGCAGCCAACATCATGTATGAGAAATGGGAGTGAGCCAACTTGAACAATCAGCCTAGTGGAGCCTTCAGACGATGTCAGACTCAGTCTGGCTGCAACCGTATAAGAGACCTCAAGTGAGAACTACCTAAATGAGCCCAGTAAACCCACAGAATCATGAAAGATAATAATAAATTGTTGTTTTAAGCCCCTAAGGTTTAGGGTACTTTGCTATACAGCAATAGTTATCCAAAGCAGGCTCTATTTGCTTTTGGGTGAGATCTTTGGGGTAGGATAATATGTTAGTAGGAAAGAATCATATATGTAGGTGTCACATACTAATATATAGTATGTTAGTAGGGATCAAAAACATACAGTTTGGGAATGTATTAATGTTACATTGGTTTTTAGCTTCAATTAAAATATATTGGTGACTTTGTATAAATATAGACCTCAAGTCTTATGAAAGTAGAACACAATAAAGATGAAGCCTTATGGCATTATAATCACACAGAAAAGAAATTTAAATGGGGGAGTCATCTCATAGCCTGCATATATCTAATGTTTTGGGGTATTTTTGGTACTTTTACAAAAACATCCAAGGCAACACCCTCTTCTGGTATACCACCTTTCATTATCCAATCAACTCCTGCTGAGAAAAAGGTAGTGGAATTCAATTCAATTCAATTCTACCAGTATATATGGAATGTTTACTTTTTTATGATGTACTTTGCTAAGTGCTGTGGGGACACATAGACACAGACTCTGCTTTCAATGAGTTTTAAGTCTATCCAGGAGACATATTTGCAGTAAAAGCTCTATTAATCCACCCTTATTTAATGGACTCATCAGATTAATTAATGTTCTCCATCCCCAATGAATAGTAGGATACTCTCTACAAAGACCACGTGTGTCTATTTCCATCAGTTGAATTGTATGCTCACCAAGAGTCAGCTGCATTAGTCTTCCAAGTTCTTTATGCCAGACATAATTGTGGTTATAATTACATAATTTAATATTACACAAATTGATGAGTGCAATGAGTTCAAAAAGACAACTGTTATTATAAAAATTAAGCTGAATACTTTAGGAGAATTAAAGATTTGAAAACAAAAGTTGCTATTGGATTATATGTGAGCTTGAAGCTGTAAAATATTAGAAAAAATCATGAATATTTAAAAAGATTTTGAATTTTTTTTCTGACAGAGTTGCTCTATTGCCCGGGCTAGAGTACCATGGCATCAGCCTCGCTCACAGCAACCTCAAACTCCTGGGCTCAAGTGATCCTCCTGCCTCAGCCTCTCAAGTAGCTGGGACTACAAGCACACACCACCACGCCCAGCTAATATTTTCTCTTTTTAGTTGCTTGGCTAGAGTCAGGGTCTCTCTCTTGCTTAGGCTGGTCTCAAACTCCTGAGCTCAAGCAATCCTCCCACCTCGGCCTCCCAGAATGCTAGGATTACAGACGTGAGCCACCGCACCTGGCCCATTTGGTTTTATTTTGAAAGTATTCTTATATTCTTGTTTCACTTTAGAAAATCTCAAAAGAGACTATTGATGATGCATTAGGGCTAGAATTTATGCCAAGAATATATGGCAGAATTTTAACCATTGAACCAATATTCAAACAAAATTATTGTCTCTATATCAGAAGACTTATAAATGAATGTACATTTATTTGTTTTAAGTTAAAATCTTTAAGGTATACATTGGGAAGTTATAGTAATCAAAACAGCATGGTACTGGCATGAGAAAAGACACATAAACCAATGAAACAGAATAGAAATCCCAGAAATAAAGCCACACATTTATGGACAGTTGATTTTTAACAAAGGTGCCAATAACACACAATGGTGAAAGGACATTCTCTTCAATAAATAATGTTGGGAAAACTGGTTATCTACAAGCAGAAGAATAAAACTGGGGCTTTATCCCACACCATATATAAAAATCAACTCAAAATGGATTAAAGGCTTAAATGTAAGCCACGAAACTGTAAAGCTAATAGAAGAAACATAGGGGAAAAGCTCCATGACATTGATCTGGGCAAATAATTTTTGGATATGATCCCCAAAGCACAGGTAACAAAAGCAGAAATAGACAAAAGGGACTGCACCAAACTAAAAAGCTTCTGCGGAGCAAAGGGAGCAATCAACAGAGTGAAGAGACAACCTATGGAATGGGAGAAAATAATTGCAAATCATACATCTGATACAGGGTTAATATCCCAAATACATAAGGAACTCAAACAACTCAGTAGTAAGAAAACAGCCCAATTGAAAATGGGCAAAGGATCTGAACAGACAGTTCTCAAAAGAAGACATACAAATAGCCAACAGGTATATGAAAAAATGCTCAACATCTCTAATCATCAGGTTAATGCAAATTAAAACCATGAGATATCACATCACACTTGCTAGAATGGCTATTATCAAAAAGACAAAAGACAAGTGTTGGAGAAAATGTGGGGGAAAGGGAACACTTGTACACTGTTGGTGAGAATGTAAATTAGTACAGCCACTATGGAAAACAGTACAGAGGTTCCTCAAAAAATGAAAAATAGAACTACCATATATATATATGATCCAGCAATCCCACTACTGGGTATATATCCAAAGGAAATGAAATCAGTATCTTGAACAGATATCTACAGTCTCATGTTCATTGCAGCATTGTTCACATTAGCCAAGCTATAGAATCAACCCAAGTGTTCATCAATTTATGAATAAATAAAGAAAATATGATATATACACACAATGAAATACTATTCAGCCATACAAAGGAAGGAAATACTGTCATTTGTGACAATGTGAATGAACCTGGAGGACTTTAGGTTGACTGAAATAAACCTGGCACAGATCACACCCCAGAGCTGTTCCAATCAGAGGCAAGGGAGTGTGGATGTTTATACTCCTTCACATAGGCAGTCATTGATCAAGAGCTCTGCCTACCTCCAGGAGACTTAAATACCCAGAACACTCTGGCTTTTCACTTCCACAGACCAAGCTCACTGCAGCAGTCTGAGGGCTCCCCTCCTACAGTGATTGGCAGGGGTTGACTGGTGAGAGTGAAAGCCATGGGGAGCCATGTTTGCATGGATAGAGCATGGACATCCTCAGCTGCTGCAGAGGGCTGGGCCATATCAAGGGAGAACTGAGTGCCCGGTGAGGGTCAGCATTTATTCAAACCATATCCAAAAAGCAGTAGGGAACCATTAACACTATCTGAGCAAGAGTGTGAGATAAGCAGATGACTGCCACTATCTTCTGCTTTCTGAAAAGAGAGAGCCACTTTCCATCAGAGTAAGAAAGAGACCTCCAGTGCATTTACAGGTGTAAGGTGGCGTAAGAAATTACAGACAACAGTCTACCAAAATTGTCAAATAAAGACACAGTCTTTAATCTAGGTAATAATGCCACAGGAACTTATATTTTCTCTCTGTCTGAAGGAAGAATAAAAGAATGTTTCCTTGAAAAACCACTTAAGCTTGCTGTTGATTTTCAGAAGTCCTCGTTTTTATAATAGCACATTTTGGGAAAACATGAAAAGCAATTCATACTGACAAACACTTCTTCTCTAACTACCAAGCATGTCTTTCAGAAGGGTAATGAGTTATAGCAAGTAAATAATCCCATGTCATGCAGTAAAATGGAAGTTATACTGTGAAAGTACTTTACAGTATGTTTAGCACCTTGAATTCTTTCTATGTCTGTACCAGTCTTCTCACTTGTTTAGTGCTGTAAGATGTAACCCATACAAAGGTAGGTATTGAGAGACTTTCACTAACACAGAGTCAATAAGCAATAAGGCATTATGTCTTTCCAGCACTCCTACTGCAAAATGATGTCAGTATTTCTGAATGCTTAAGGACTATTAATTCTGATCTCCTATTACTAGGGAAATGAGTGCCTGTAGCTCACACTTCATCTCCTCAGCTGAATAATCTACAAGAAACGTCAAATCTCAGGGCTGCTTGTACTACATCTGCAGCTGATGGAGTGACTAGCGTATTGAAACGACTAAGACAAGAGACTGAGAGTAAAGTGACACTTCACATAGCTGCTAATAATGAACCACACGGAGCCCAGCTCAGTCTAAGGATGAGCCACGAATGAAGCATGAGGCAGCATAGAGAGCATCCCTTTGCACTGGACCTTCCCATTTTTGGAAGACATATTATCTAAGCAAGTCTGAGGCTTCAGCCTTTCCTCTATGTGTCAGAGGAAGGTTAGCAGAGGAAGATGTGTGAATTAGAGACTCTAACTTCTCTTGGGTTTCCCAGAAGCAGACTGTAAGATTAGGATTCTTATGCAAATGATTTACTAAGGAAGTGCTCCCCAGAGAGACCAGTGAAGGGGTGGGGGAAGCAGGGCAGGGATGGCTGCAATCTTGGGCGAAGTTCCATCAGTTCAGCCTGATCCGGCAGGGGCACTCTGGAGTATAACTAACACCTCTGAGTTTTTCCCACTCTCAGTAAGGGAAGTGAGCCTTCATACTCCCCCACCTATCAGTTATTGACTAAGGGTTACCTTGTGGTAGAAGGTACAAAAACTCCCAGGACTTCTGGCTCTCTGCTCATGTGAACAAAAAGCTACAGTAACCTGAAGGCGGCTTCTAAAGAGAGTCTAAGGTGGAGGCTGTTGTTGGCCAATCTCCTAACAGACGTGGTTAGGAGTCTGAGGGGATCTGGCAGAGGACTGATGGTGTTCCACAGACAGTGAACACAATCAGAACTTTTCTACCTTCAGCAAGCTCAGAGAGACCCAGAGCTGCTTCCCTCTCATGGCAGAAAATGAACCACACAATGGTAATGTGGAGGTGATTACTGTGGAAAATTGTTGGTCCCTAAGCACAAAGGATGCCTGGGAGAGGTCTGGGAGAGCCTAGATATCATTCCAGCAAAGTCTTTCAACCATTTCCAGGAAGCTGACTGGAAGCGTGCTGTTTTTCCTTCCAAACTGGTTTCCAAAGAGCCCCCATGTGCTTTAATGTTAACTTCATGACAGATAAATTAATTTTATGTGCTAAGAGGCATGTTATTTGTCCGTCATCTGTGTCATGCATCACATGATATCTTAGACATTTTCTAAATATGATGCTCGTTCGTAATACACAAAAGAAAGTGACTGACAGGAGACTGCAAAGTCGTATTAAGTGCTACCTTTTATGGTGAGGCTTTTCATTCAATTCCAGGAGACTTGATGCTGTAATGTCCAAATATTTTTTATATTTAAAGTCAGGGGAATAATATGCTGTTGTGGACACATTTGTTGTTAATATTGTACTTCCCATCTCCATCACATTTATGTTGAGCATGAGCTTGCAGTTATCTTATGCTTAAGGATTTTTTATTGTATTCTATTATCAGTTTTACCCATAGCCTAAATATACCTTCTAAAGATTTTCCGTGAGTTATTTATACCAAGTTTCAGGTCAATAGTTACGAAACCCCACCAGCAAGTCATATTTAACTTCTGAGTCTCAGTTTCCTCATCTATAAAATGGGAATAATGACACTTCATAGGGTTGTTATAACCATTAAATGAGAACAATGCTGTTGCTGATGATATGGAGGGCATCATTTGTTTTTGCTGTCTAGTATCCCTCACCATTCCCTTAGTACTTGGATTTCCTTTAAGGTAATCTACCTTCAGGACCAGGGTACTTTCTCATTATCTTAAGCCAGCTAATGCAGTTTACCACTCTGGCCACAATTATTAGCTGAAGATAGGCATTGATATAATTAGAATTAGGAGAACCAGACCCAAGGCACTGGTTCGACTGTTGGAGGAGGAGGAACTTTCTTCTCTCCTGAACAGTGTGGTGTGAGGATGAGAGGCTTGCAGCCACTACAGCCAGTAGTGCCCAGGAGAGGCATGCCTGGAGCTAGTGAGAGAGGCCAACACTCCATGGATCCTGAAAATGAAACCACCAAAAGGAAAAGAGGGACCAAGAGACTCCAAGGTCTTGATAAGGTTTGAGCATCTGGATCAAGCCCTGCCTGATCACCACATGCCAATAATCTCCCTTTATTTTTTGAGCACTATAAGCTGGGTTTTCTGTCAATTGAAATACAATGGCTCCTAAGTAAACTGTATACTATCTAACATTTAATGTGAGCTTACAATGTTCCTGATAGAAGGCTGACAGCCTCACATAAAATGCTTATTTAAGCCTCACAGCAGCCCTAAAAGCTACATCCAATGATTATATTACAAATGAGAACACCAAGGCCTAGGAAGTTAAGTAATTGGCCCAAGGTCACGTAGACAGTCATGGAGCCAGGATTGAACCAAGTACGTGTGATTGGCATCTACTATCTTTACCATAATGTTCTTTTGCCTCTCTGAATATAAAGAACAATCTTTGGCTGCACAAATGTGACCATTTTTCACCTCCCTTTTGACTTAAAAAATTATTGTAAATGTAGAGAGGCTCTAGTTGCTTAGAGTCAATCCAAGGCACTATTGGTTTAGATTAGAAAATGCTACACAATATTAACATTTAATTTCTAGAGCCAGCTCTAAGATTGTTTTTCTGAATATATTATAACTTAAGACCCAGTTATGAATCCCAAAACTGAGAATATAAAAACCAGATCCTTTAGCTATAGGTAACTCCTTCGTGTGAGCCAAGGCAAGACCACTCCTGCTTGTGGTCTGAACTGTGGAGAATGAGAAATAATGTTTTGAGATTGGTCATGTCTTATGGATTTGGTTTTGCCTATATGAAAATAAAGGTTTTCTCCTTTTAATGGGATCATATAATGTGTTCCTTTTGGTTATCCATGGAGACCTTCAAATGATTAATAAATTTTTAGTAAGAAAAAATAATGATATATATATATATATGATGATGTGGCTTGCATTATACAATCTATGTTGACAATTTCCAAAACAATGAATTTACAGTTATTATAATATTCCAAAATTTGCTGCACTAATCTCTGTAGATTATCACTTAAGATTTGAAAGTCTTCAGATTCTTTAGGCCTATGACATCAATTTCACTCATAACTTGTCTCATTGCATAACTGTTTGACTAATCAGGAAGCATTTCCTACCTTGGGCTGAAGCACAAACCACTCGTCACTTGGATTATCAAAGTTCCATGAGTCAAAAGGAATCTCTACCTCCCCAAGGAAACTGTTACGTCCAAATCGATCATAGTGCCAGACCGAGAGCTGCAGAGTTCTTGTTTCCAGCTGGGTATGGCTGATGGTATACTGCAAATGAGATTTACAACATCACACTCCACAAGAAGGGCTTTATCCAATTCTAGGACAGGTTGGAATGCAACCATTCCAACATCTTTCGGATCATACGCATCAGTAATATGAACAAAACAAACATAAAGAAAATACTTTCTTTTTCTTTGTTTTTGCTACAACTGAGGTTCTATTCCATAAACTCATTTTGTGCCAGACCTAGTACTGAAAGATATATAAACACATTATTTTGAGGAGGAGATAAACCCCAGATACTGTATAAACAGTGTTAGGTAATGAAGCTTATCCTCTTTCCAGTTTTACCTGTTTTTCATTTGCCTAATTATTTTTTTTTCACATCTACTTTGTAAGATCAAGATTTAAATCTCCAACTTCTCTGTCTTATTTTATTCATAATGAGAACCCTCAAATCCAGAAACATATTGACAATGAGAAATTTGCAAACATCAAATTTCATAAAGCCCGGCCTAAGTGCAGAGGTGAAAAGGTGTACTTGTAGACTGAGCAGAAAGAAGATATCGCTGGGCTTGCTTTTCCTTTCTGAACAGCATGTTATCCAGGGCCACATGCCCATATGCCCTCCAACCTTCTGCTTGTTCTGTGCAACCACCATCTGGGACACGCTTCAGACTGACTGATTCCTGATCTTGGATTTGTGTCTATTCCTGTCCTTGCTGTTACTATCATGATTAACCTTGGCTCCCTGCTTCCTGAATTTACCCTCTCTCTGTGCTTACCTGTTCTGCTTAGGCTCATCTTTGCTAGTCTGTTACGGCCATTGAATTAATTTGTCCTCTGCCTGTATTTATTCATTTTCAGTTTATCTGTCTTAATATTGGCTCTGCTTCCATAAATGCCCCCACTGACACATGTAGGCACATGGCTTTCTGCCCTCACCAACTTCCTCCTATAGTGGACTCTGATTCTATCACTCTGGGGCATTAAACTCATAAATTTCCCTAGGATTCATAATAACTTCCATATTCCATTCTCCCTGGATCTTTCTTACCAGGCCAGATTGGTCCGGGGTGAGAGAAAGGGTTGTTATGTGGAAGCTCACTGGAAATAGAAATTTCTGTAGGAATAGGTCATATTTTATCTAGGCCATTCTCTCTGAGATTTCTCAAATCTGACCCTGCATCTCCACAGTTCATTAACCACACATCTAAATTTAGCCAAATTCTGAAACCCTAACAAGAAACAGCACATATCCATGCTGTGTTAGCAGAACAATGAATGTGTGCAAAGCGACTCATTAAGTTGTCAAAACTGTGACAAACTTCTTTCAAGGCGGGTCAGAAAAAGCACAGTTTGCCCAAGGGTAAAAAAAACATACTTTTTTGACAAGCTGCATCAGCTGAGATGTAATTTTGCTAGATCCTCTCTACTTAAGGTACAAATTCAGCAGCAGCAGCAGCAGAGAAGTTAACAGAGTAAGAGTGGTTTACATTATTTTTTCCTAAAAGATGTTAGGAAAGCCAAGCATATTATGATAATTTATTCAAATTTCAATTTTCTAAAACATATACAAGCCTTGACATGCAAACAAAAGATTATCTGTAGTTACTTCTAAACCAGTGAGATTGTGAACAGTATCACATGAGTTACTATGAGAGAGTATTTATTTACCTTGAGTATTTCATTGAATTCCGGATTGGTGCCTGTTCTGATTTTGGTCTTGCGCTTATTGTTTCGGGACTTGTCAGGAAGAAGGTATGACTTGACATAACTGTAGATAATAAAATATGAAAGTAATTATTGGGGAATATCTATTTGTAAGAAATGGTCCGGGACTTAAGTGAATAAAAGAGGCAAAGGGGCAGTGATCATAAGAGACAGAACCAAAGAGAATGTGGTCTATATAATATGATAGCTTAAAATATAATTCTGGGCCTTCCATTAGAAAGAAGCAGTAAAGTGCAGTGGTAAAAGAGTGTAGGCTCTGGAGTCAAGCCAACTGCTTTTGAGTCAATCCATGCCTCATAGGTTTTGGTGACTTCAAGAATTTACTTAACCTCCCTGTGCCTCAGTTTCCTTATCTGTAAAACTGGAATAATAACAGTGTCTAACTCATGGCATTGTGAGGATTAAATTAGTTGACACATATAAGGAGCTGCCATATTGTATTAATACTACTCAATAAATGTAATCTATTATTATTAGCAATGGTCTCATAAACTTCTCTGAGGTTATATACCTCTTCATTCCTAGTCCTGCCTTCTGATGTCAGGGAGTAGGGTCAATGGTAATAGGTGAATAAAAGAAAATAGTGAAAAAGAAGAAATAGAAAAAAACTTGAAGTCAAGATAGCAATTCTACCCAACACCTTACCTTGAACTATCTCAGGAGCCTCTCAGAGTAGGGGCATCACAGTAGGCTCAGAAATGTATAAGATGTGCATGATTGAAACATACAGGATGCTACCAGAGTTCTGAACCATATGTGCTGGGGTTTTAGATGACACCATTCCAAGCTAGTCAAAATAATTATATGGGTCCTGTAGCGCTCTGAAATTTAGTTAAGGAGGCAGGTGAACCAATCTCTAGTCAGAATCCATCCATTTGTCTATCTCAGGACCCATCTTCACTGATTTATTTATTGCACCTAGGTCATCTATTGTACAGAAAAGAGTGAACATGGCAGGACTGAGACTGTTATCTTTCTAAATGCCTGTTTGCAAGGTTGGCCCTTGGGTGGTGCCTGGGAACTTGGATTTTGGGAGAGTTCCTACCATTCCGAGAACTGATAAAAGTGGCTCACTGTGCCTAAACTGTTTGTACAAACAGTATGGCATTGTGAACAGTAGATTTCCTTCTGGGAGACTGGAAATTTGGTATATGATGAGCGAAGTTTCTAACAAGCTTCCTTGGTAAACAGCATTTCACAAGCGTTGTCATGACTCATTGCTGGAGGAATTAAGTTCATCCTAGGTGACTCCACTGGGAGAGCTTGGAAGCTTGAGCCTAGTTTCCTCAGTACTTCGTTCCATATACCTTTTCCCTTTGCTGATTACAACTACATGCAGAGTCCTGTGAGAACTCCTAGTGAATCACTGAACCTGGCAGTAGTCTTGGGGACCCCTGACACATCTTTGTATCTAGCTTCTCTCCAATGTACCATGGTCCATACCTGCCCTCCTAGGCTGATCCTTAGAATCCTGAGAGCCTCATAATTGCCCTTTTGAGTTGTTTGATTGGGTAACAGCTTGGTAATTTTCTCTGGAGGATTTCCCAGAACAAAAATCAACAGGATACTTTTGTACATCATGGGTGTGCCAACACGTCAGCCTTCTACCTCAAAGAGCTACCTGTGTGCAAGCTACAATGATGTCAGTCCTGAATCGTGTTGAGTAAGGGCCTTATAACAATCGGGTAACCAAGGACATAACCATTATGCATGTACTTTACAGAATATTTAGAAGTGTGGTATAGGAGGAAAGTGAAGTGACAATCAACTCTCTTGAGAAGGCTCTGAATCAAGAGGAATGCTAAAATTTTTCTGAAAAAGAAACACACATACAGACAAAGAAGGCAGTGACTGAAATAGTATGAGGAACATGCTATGTGCTTACGCATCTGTCCTCTGTTTCTTTTCATCTCCTATGGCCAGATTCCTGCAATTCTTGACAAAAATGTAGAGCCCTCCTGTTTTGTAGCAGTAGCTGATATGGAGAAGGATTTCACCACTGACCTTCACGTTGCCATAGTCTCCTGTTTCACTGTAAACACTCATCATGCTATTAAGGCTGGTCTGGAATAAATAAACAAGATGAAAAAAAGGCATCCAGTGTTATTCTAATGATCTCCTCACAGAATCAACGCCCTTTATTCAATTACAGTTCCTGTTCTTTATAAGTAGCAGGGAAGTCTAGAGTGAGGAAAGAAGGCAAAAGTCACTCGTTTTGTTTGTATTTTACAAAATCTCAGCCTGAGAAAAGACAACAGACCCAGTACCATTAATAAGGAAGACAGGACATTTTCTGAGAGGGAAGCATTGCCATTTTGGGTTAGTGAATACCCTTTGTTTATTTACTTCTAATGAATACAGGGTCATCGAGGCATTTCCAATCCCACTTCTCCTCCATCCCTGCAGCTTTCTCCTTTTTCACTGGTAGACCCAAGTTCACTCTACTTTAAGGTCTAGAATACATTGATCAGAACAAAGAATAGCTTATCTCATGTTCTGTGCTAGAAGGAGCCCCATGCACCCACAGGGAGCATCCTATCAGTCTCTGGGGAGCCACGGCTGCAGCTTTAACAAAAACATGCCAAGAGAACATCATAGATCCACAGCTGCCATGATTTCCCCTCGAATGAGTAGCTGTGTGGCCACTTGAATAGTTAAGACCAAGGCTTTGTAAATCTCTGTAAAATCGCAGTCCACAAAATATAACACTGAACAATACAATCACATAGTAACAAATCAGTGAAATAATTTAAAAGAAAACAGTCCAAATCTACCAGAATGATTGAGGTTTTTGACAAGACACTAATGACATGAGACATATTTTAAATTATAATAGTCCCCCTTATCCACAGTTTCACTTTCCATGGTTTCAGTTACCTGCAGCCAACAAAAGTCCAAAAACATTAAATTGAAAATTCTAGAAATAAACAATTCACAAGTTTTAAATTGCATGCTCTTTTGAGTAGCATGATGAAATCTTGCACTGTCCTGCTTCATCCTGCCCAGGACATGAATCATCCCTTTGTCCAGTGGATCCATGCCGTAGATGCTGCCCATCCGTCACTTATCAGATCAACTGTGCTACTACTACAGTGCTTGTGTTCAAGTCACCCTTATTTTACTTAATAATGGCTCTAAAACTCAGGAGTAGTGATACTGGGAATTCAGATATATCAAACAGAAGCCAAAAAGTGATTCCTGTAAGTGAAAAAGTGACCTTGGAGTTCCTGGGCTAGGGTTCAGTACTATTTATGGTTTTAGGCATCCACTGGGGGTCTTGCAACATATCTCCTGTGGATAAGGGTGACTACTGTAAATATAATAAAATTATCCATTAGCACTAGAAGCAAAAACTCTATGTCTTAGTAACTATCACAAAAGACCACCTGAAAGGTTTTCATGAATGACCTAGTAGTTTCAAAACCCCTCTTCTATGAATCACTGGGAAGAAAAGACTATGGCAAGTGCAAAGACAACTCAGACTTTCCACTTTTTCATTTTTTTTTTTTTTTGCAAAAACCGTCATGTTCCTCCAATTGCTCAGGGTTGAGATTGGCCAAAGAATAGGATGTGGTGATGTGGCTCGTATCTCTTCTAAGCTTAAGTTGAGGGCAAGAGCAAACCAAGAATTCCATAATTATTTGAAAACTACAGCTTAAAAAGAGCCAGTAAGTGGTCTAATTTGTCTTTCTTATTTGTAAAACAAAGCAATAGAATTTTCATGTTTAGCAGGTGGCTTTGAGTGGTGCTTTTCAAACTTTAATTGCATATATATCACCTGGGGATCTTTTTAAAATGAAGATTCTGATCTCTTCAGCCTGCGGTGGGGTATGAGCTTCTGCTTTTCTAAAACATTCCTAAATTTGCAATTCCCAAACTGTGTGTTGAGGTAGTCCAGAGCACCACAGCAAACTCACAGGTGCACCATAGAATATTTAAGATTTTTGAGGGAAACACAAGGACATCTATAAGACACCATCTACACCACTAACTAGTAGTTGACAATGTTAACATTAAATCATATTTCATTCTTTTTAATGAACTCCTGTCTGTGTGAATCTGAGTTTTTGGCAGTTACTGCAAGGAAAAGCAAATATTGTACAAAAATCAACATGAAATGGGAAATGAAAGTGGTTATGTCCAATCAGATTGTAAGATTTAAGAAACCGTGTGGTGCTCAGTAGGCACACATATCCTATTAGCAAGTAATTAGGGCTATTTAGGAATGAAATAAAAATATTATTTTTCTTTGAATGTACCCATATTATTTTTTCAAATGGCTACTAAGTTGTTAGGATATAAGTGCTTATTAAATTGTTTGGATCTATTCTTAAAGCCTTTGATACTCAAAACATGGTAGGTGGTACTTTTGGCCTAGAAGTGGCATGAAACACTACTGAAACACTAGAGGCTTTATGAACTGAGAAAGTTTTGGAGTTTCTGTTTCAGGTGATGCAATGTTGCTGGTTCATGGAGTATCAAAGGCTTTAAGAATAAACCCCAACCTTTTCATGTTATGAAAAAACTCTGGCTCATAAAAATTTTAGGCAGTTTCAAGACATAAAGCAAGATCTCCAGGTTTCTAATCTGAAGACCTTCCCACCGTACCTCACTACCTCTTTATATCACTGACTTGTGTCTACACCGCATCCCCTCCATAGCCACATCTTCAAAGAGAATCCTCTGTAAACAGAAGTCCCCTACAGATAGAAGGAAACTTAAGAACACATGGATGCTGAGGCTTGGGAGAAATTAAGGCAGATATGGCAATTTTACTACTAACCAAACTTCATGCTCTTAACCAAGCCAAGGCTACAATTTAAAATAGAGATAGTTACTCCAAAGGTCTTGTTAATGGTAAATCATTTTAGACCATGTTTCTTTTGACTGGCACTCAGACTCTAATGTTTAATGAATTGGAATACTTGGGCTCTGATAACCTCATTAATCTTTTAAAAGGGAACCTCTGGTTAATTGTACCCAAGTCAGAAAAAGATAAACGTGGGAAGAATTGCCCACCTAATCATGTTTCCCAGACCATGGAATTTATAAAGTATGGTCGGAAAGAAGGAAAAGGAAAGGTTGAAAACTCACAGTGTCTGAGTCAGCGTCAGGCACATTTAGGTAGGTCCACATCCTGTCAGAGCCTGCTTGAGAATTCTTTAAAGAAGTCGTCCAAAGATCAAAAGAAAAAGAATGTTAGAGCAACAAGAAATCAGAGAAGCCAAGAAAAAGACTTACAGACATATAGATAGACACAAGGACACAGGGGTTCCTAAAGCCTTCCTCTCAAGAAAGACCTTGAACACTACAGTAAGAATGGGCTTTATTTTGTAGGCAGTGGGAAGCTATGGATGGTTTTTGAGTGGGATAGATACCAGACTGTGTATAGGAAATGACCAGCAGTAGTGTGGAGGGTGGTTGGGAAGTTGAGAGAATGGCATCAGGGAAGTTTGTCAGCAGAAAAATGAAATAATTTACAGGCTTGAGTTGACCGAGCCTGAACTAGGGATTGAAGAGAGTTTAAAATCTGGGTGAGGACCGTGGAAGGAGAAAGAAGGAATGAATCAGAAGCCTTAGAAAAAGCCCACATAAAATTAGACTGAAAAGTACTCTGTGGGTAAAAGGCAAGCAGGAGCCTACAATAACTTTTAACTCATGATCACACATTTTCCCAAGAACATTCATATCTCTTTTGGAAACACACAGAAAATCAGTAACAGAGAGACAAGGAATTTTCTTTTCTGCCGGTGCTAGAGAACTGCTTACGGTTGACAAGCCGCTTGCCAAACTGTGGGTGTTTGCAGAAAACCGGGAGGACACTAAGGTATCAGCATCTTTTTCAGCCTCTTCCAAGGAGTCCTAAGAAAGTAGGGAAAAATCGGTGGTTCGGTTTATTTCTTTTCTAGAAAGTCTTTTCAATTGAGAAACCACTTTCTTTCATAAATACCTGAGAATCAGATAAAAATATCAATAAATGACTCTATTCCTAGGTTTTTCTCTTTTCTCCCAATCTTTTTATTTTAATTTCAAAATATTAAGGGGGTACAAATATTTTAGGTTATATGGATCGTTTTTGTAATGTTTGAGTCCTGGCTATAGGTGTGCCCGTCACCACAATCATGTTTATAGTACCCATTAGGCTGGCTTATTCCCCTTCCTTCCTCCCCCTCTTCCCTGGTTGCATTCCACTGAATTTTATTTCCCTCTGTACACATGTGTGCTCGTTGATTAGTTCCAACGTAATAGTGAGTACATGTGGTGTTTGTTTTTTCATTCTTGAGATACTTCACTTAGGAGAATGGTCTCCAGTTCCATCCAGATTGCTGCAAAAGGTATTAATTCATCTTCTCCTCCACTCAATCTTAATTAGAACTTCAGAGGAGTGAGCAGGTGTTGGGAGTGGGTAGAGAGTGAGGTCTCTTTCCTAATAGTGCTTGCTTTATGGAAAGAACATGAAATTTGGAATCATACAGACCTAGGTTCAAGTCCTACCTCCCTGACCTCTAAGGTGATTTCATGTTGGGCACTGTACTTATTTTAAATTATTTTTTTAAAAACTAAAGGAACAAAAGTCATTCTACAATAAAGATATCTGCACTCAAATGTTTATGGCAGCACAATTCACAGTTGCAAAGATGTGGAAACAACCCAAGTGCCCGTCAATCCATGACTGGATTATTAAAATGTGGTTTATGTATACAATGGAATACTACTCAATTTTAAGAAACGACAGTGATCTAGCACCTCTTATATTTTCCGGGATAGACCTTGAGCCCATCCTCCGAAGTGAGGCATCACAAGAATGGAAGAATAGGCACCACATATACTCGCCATCAAATTGGCACTGACCAATCAACACTAAGGTGCTCACACAGTAGTAATATTCTTTGGGGGTAGGAGGTTGGGGGTGGGTAAACTCACAACTAATTGACGCGGTGAGTATTGTAGTTGGGGGGAAAGGGCATGTCTCAAATCATGGTTGGGATGTGACAAAGTCATAACATGTAACCAAAATGTTTGTATCCCCATAATTTCCTGAAATAAAAAAAAATTTTTTAAAAATTTTCTTTGTACATGCACACATATATACTGCCAAGATGGCAAAATATATCTCAAAAATGTCTCCGATAGGATAAACTAGACACTAGACTCTGATCCAAAATTTCAGATTCTATTTTTCTTCTCCTTCTTTTTCTCCTTTATGATAAAATGTCTTTTTATTTCCAGTTATTTAAGTGATACATTTTTATGGTAAAAAATTTCAAGCAATATGGATAAATGTAAATTAAAAACTTAGATCTCCAATTAATGTATTAATGAGCAAATTTCAATATTTTTGATGGTATATATCATGTATATATATACTCACACACAAACACATTTATATACATAAATGGATTATATCACGCATGCTTTTTTGTATTATGGACAATTTTTTGCTTCTCCCTTGCCTTCCCTTCCACTCACCCCAGGTGAAACTAATATTTAGCATCTGCTGCACATATTACATTCCATGTTTTTCTTTATTTATGTGAAAAATCATATAAAAACATCCACACACAAACTTGAGCAGACATTCATGAGAATATCTTTTAACTATTGTTTTACAAATCCAGATTATTGTATATAGTTCTGAGCTTTTGCTTTTAATAGCAAAAAAAAAAAAAAACCACACAAATAACCTGATCAAAAACGGGCAAAGGATATGAATAGATATTTCTCAAAAGAAGACATATAAATGGCCAATAGGCATATGAAAAAATGCTTAACATCACTAATCATAAGGGAAATGCAAATTAAAACTATATTGAGATACCACTTCACATCTGTTAGAATGGCTATTATCAAAAACCAAAAGACAACAAGTTAGTGTTTAATGGGTACAGAGTTTCAGATGGGGAAGTTGAAAAAAGTTCCAGGGATGGATGATGGTGATGGTCGTACAACAATGTGAATATAATTTATGCCACAGAACTGTACACTTAAAAATAGGTAAAATGGTAAATTTTGTGTTACATATATTTTACCACAATAAAAAAGTTTGTGTAATATTTAGGATAATAATGTCCTTGAAAATTTCATAGAGCTTGCCAGTAAAGTCTCAATTTTTCTTTGTGAAAAGATCATAAACTGGCGTTTCAATTTTATTAATCATGTCAAAAAATTTCAGGTTTCAAAAAATTTCTTCTTGAATCAAATTTGGCTAATTATAGTTTTCTAGAAATTTGTTCATTTCATCTCAGTTTTCAAGGTTTTTGGCATATAATTGTTGATATTAGCTTTTAAATCTATTTAATCTATAGTTATATTCCATTTTTTATTCATAATATTATTTATTTTTGCCCTCTCTTTTTCCTTGTTAAATCTTCTCAAAAATTACTCATTTCTTCAAAAACCAATGTTTGTTTTGTTGTTCTCTATTTTATCTTTGTTTTGTGGTTGATTTCTGTTCTTAATTGTATCTTTCTTTTTTTTTTTTTATTTCAGCATATTATGGGGATACAGATGTTTAGGTTACGTATGTTGCCCTTGCCACCACCCTCCCCCCCATGTCCGAGTTTCAAATATGTCCATCCTTCGGGTGGAATTGTATCTTTCCTTTAACTTCAAGTTTAGTATGTTATTCTCCTAACTAAAAAGTTAAATTAATAATGAATAGTTTTCAGGCCTTTTTTCTGTCTTATATAAATATTTAAGCTATAAAATTTCCCTTGAAGTAAGACTTTTTGCTGCATCCTGTAAGTTTTTTATAGTATTTTTATTTTCATGTTGTTCTTGGTTTTTCACATGTTCATTATGATTTATGCTTTAAATCAATAATTATTTAGCAGTGTGTTTTTACTTTGTGAATTTGTGGGTATTTTTAACTTATGTTTTTGTTATTAATGCCTAACATAATTGTGTTGAGCTCAGAGAACATGTTGAGTATGATTTTTAATAGACTTTAAGGTCTGGATTATTGTGTATAAATCCTCTCATTTTCATTTCTTTGATCTTAGATTTATATTTATTAAGACACAACTTTACCAACTTATATAATCATCTTTACTTTTTATATCCCTTGTAACAGTTCCTGGATTTCTTTCTCCTCTTAAGTATTTCACTCAAAAATGTTTTCAATGTGGGTCTTTGTGTGGCAAGCTTTGGAAACATTTCATTCTCTTTAAATGGTGTAAAATTCTATTATATGTTCAAAATTGTTCTCCTTTGATACTTTAAAAATATTACTCCTTTTCACTTTGTATGCAGAATTGCTGTGAAAAACTCAGATATTAATTTGATCCTTGTTTATTTGTAGGTAATAGAATTTGTGTCTAGAAATTTAAAAAATTGTCGCTTGTATGTAATATTCTTAGATTTCACTGTTATGTGCTTGGGTGTGAGTTGTTATTTATTTCTCATTTTTGATGCTTTCAAACTGAGACATACCTTTCTTTAATTCTGAGAAATATATTCCTATTATTTTTTCAAATAATCCCTTTTCTATATTTTTATGTTTTGCTCCTTCTGGGTGTGCAATTACCCAAAGTTAGCATATAAACTACTAAGATTTCTTAACTTTCTTTTTAAAAAAGATATTATGACCAATTTCAAACATTCACAAAAATAGAAGGAATAGTATATTGAACTCTAGTAACTCTTCACCCACCTTTAACAATTATCAATATATTGCCAAACTTTTTCGAGCTATTATCCTCGTTGTTTACTTTTTTCCACAAGTTTATTGAGGGATAATTTACATACCACAAAATTTATCCATTGTATGTATACAATTCAGTGATTTTTAGCAAATTTATGCTTTTGCAAACATCAATATAATTCAGTTTTATCACATATATACCAATCCATTAAGTTCCACCATGCCTGTTTGCAGTCAATACCAACTTCCCCACTCCCTACCAACCATTAATATGCTTAATTTCTCTATCAATTTTCCCTTTATTGACATTTCATATAAATGTAATCAAGCTTCTTTCATTTAGCATAATGTTTTTAAGGCTCAGTACTTCATTTTTTGTTTTGATGAATAATACAATGGAATATTTTGTCTATTCACCAATCGATGGACACCATTATTTCCACTTTTTGGTTATTGTGAGTAATGCTGCTATGAACATTTGTGTGTAAGTCTTTGTGTGGACATACATTTTCATTTCTCTTGGATAGATACCTGGGATTGGAGTTGCTTCATCATATAGTAAGTTTATGTTGAACTTTTAAAGAAATTGCCAAACTTTTTTCCAGAGTAGCAATATATGAGGGTTCCAATTTTTCCACATCCTCAACACTTATTATTATGTCTTTTTGACTGTAGCCATTCTAGTGAGTGTGAAGTGGTATCTCATTGTGATTTTAATTTTCATTTCTCTAATGACTAATGATACTGAGCATATTTTCACGTGGTTATTAGGCATTTGTAAATCTTCTTTGATGAAATGTCTATTTAAATCTTTTACCCATTACCTAATATGATTATTTGTCTTTTTAATTTTTACTGTAAGGGTTCTTTACATATTCTAGATATAAGTCCTTTATCAAATATTTAATTTGTAAATACTTTTCCAATCTGTGGCTTGACTTTTCATTTCTATTATGGTGTCTTTTGAAGTACAAACATTTTTAATTTTGATGAAATTCAATTTATCAGTTTTTTCTTGAGTACATCATGCATCATGCTTTGAGTGCCATATCTAAGAACTCTTTTTCTAACCCAAAGTCACAGAGATTTTCTCCTAGGTTTTTTTGTAGAATTTTAAGGGTTTAGTTCTTATGTTTAGGTATATAGTCCATTTTTGAGTTAGTTTATCAGTTTTTGTGCCTGATGTGTGTGTGATAAGAGCCAAAATTCTTGTGTGTGTGTGTGTGTGTGTGTGTGTGTGTGTGTGTGTGCACCATGGGGATGTCGAATTGTCCCAGTATGATTTGTTGAAGAGATTTTCCTTTCCCTACTGAAGTGCGAAAAGTCAATTGGCCATAAATGTAAGGGTTTGTTTCTGGACTCTCAGTTCTATTCCATTGATAACCTATGTTTATGCCAGTACAGTGTTTTACTGAATACTGTAACTGTATAGTATGTTTTGAAATCTAGTAGCATAAGGCTTCCAAATTTGCTCTTCAAAATTGATTTTGTTATTCTGGGTGTCATGCATTTTCATATAAGTTTTAGAATCATAATGTCCATTTCTACAAAACATCCTTGGATTCTGATTGACATTGGGTTGTCTATAGATTTATTTGGAGAGAATTTCCATCTTAGAAATATTGAGTCTTCTAATCCATTAACATAGAATATCTCTCCATTTATTTAGGTCTCCTTTAATTTAATATTTTTATAAATTTCAAAGCACATGTCTTATACTGTTAAAATAAATTTATTCCTTAGTTTTAAAATTATTTTTCAAGATATTGTGAATGAAATTATATTCTTAATTTCATTTCCCAATTTTCATTGCTAGTATTTAAAAATACAATTGATCTTATCTCCTGAAACCTTGCTGAACTTGTTTATTAGTTCTAGTAATATTTTTGCAGCTCCTTTAGGATTTTCTACATACAGAATCATGTCATCTTCAAATAAAGAAGATATTACTTCTTTCTTTCCAATGAGGCGACTTCCTTTCCTTTTTCCTGGTTCTTTCTTTTTTCCTTTTCCTCTTTTCTTTCTTTTCTTTCTCCCTTTCCTACTTCACTGGCTAGAATCTCCCATGCAACGCTGAATAGAAGTGGTGAAAGTAGAACTCCTTGCTTTGTTCCTACACTTAGGGGAAAAGCATTTGGTCCTTTTTGTCATTAAGTCTGATGCCACCAGGTAGGAATTTGTAGATGTCATTTATTAGACTGAGGAAATTTTCTTTATTCCTAGTTTGTTGAGAGTTTTATTATGAATGGATGTTGGATTTTGTCAAGTAATTTTTTTCTGCATTTACTGAGATGACATGGTTATTGTCTTCTATTCTATTGATGTGTTGCATTACATTAATTTTGTTTTTGAATGCTAAATCAACCTTGTATCCCTGGAATAAATCCCACTTGGTCATAGTATACAGCCTTTTTTATTACTGGACTTAATTTTCAAATATTTTATTAAGGATTTTTTCCATCTATATTCATGATGAATATTGGTCTATATATTTTTTTCTTGTGATATCTTTGTCTAGCTTTTGTATTAATGTAATACCGACCTCAGCAAATGAGTTCGGAAGTATTTCCTCCTCAATTATCTGAACAAATTTGTGAACTATTGGTATTACTTCTTTTTCAACTATTTGATAGAATTCATTAGTGAAGCCATCTGTACCTGGGCTTTTCTTCGAGGGGAGATTTTTAAATAACTAATTTAATATCTTTACTTACAGATATACTCAAATTTTCTAATTTTTTTAGTCAATTTTGGTAATTTGTGTCTTCCTAGGAATTTGTCCATTTCATCTGAGTTGTGTTGACATACAGTTGTTTGTAGTATTACCTTATAATCATTTAGATTTCTGTTATAGTGGTAGTGGTATCCCCTCTTTCATTCCTGATTTTGGTAATTTGTGTCCTCTCACTTTTTTATTGGCTAGTCTAGTTCAGTGGTTTTTCATCTGGGAGTGATTTTGTCCTCCAGGGAACATTTGGAAATATCTGGAGACATTTTTGGTTTTCACAACTGGGGCAGTGCTACTGGCACCTAGTGGGTAAAGACAAGGGATGCTTCCAAATATCCTACAGGTCCCTGGATGGTGCACTTGCGTCCTGCAGTGGAGGATTGACTCAGCACAAGATGGGTGGATGCACTGTGAGCATTGAACATTCTGTTCTCCTGCATCTCCTGCCTCACCTTTCCCCTGAGATTGTCAGTGGCATTCCCTGTGTTGCAGAGTGAGTGAATGCCCTACCTAGTTCTGTCAGTAGCAGTGATTGTCAGCCTGACCCGGCTTGCAAGCTGCTCCACTCAGATCCGTGGGCAGGAGCATTTGTCAGAGTTCAGCCAAGGCCATATCTGTGGGTGACTATGATTATCTGCCCATGCTGGCTTGGGAGCTATCCCACTCAGATCTGTCAGTGGCAGCATAGCATTTGTTGCTCCATGTGGCTTCAGCATAGCCCTGCTCGCTCCCTCTGCAGCGGCAATTGATGGCCTGCTTGAGGGCTGCATCACTCTGATCCACAGACAGCAGAGTTTGTTGTCTTGTGCTGGCTTGAGTGTAACTCTGCCCACATCCTTGGGCAATGATGATTGTCAGCCCACACTGGCTTGAGAGCTGCCCTAGTCCCTAAATAATTCTTTCAGTTGCTTTTATATGTTAACCGTGAAGACTAACAGGGGAAGATGATTGTATATCCTCACTTTAGTCTCAACTCATCGTCACCTAAAAGTGGAACCACTTGGATGGAGCAAGATCATACTGTTCTATCCTCATCATCATTAGACTCGCTTCCACATCCAACTTACCAAGTCTTTGTCTAAAGCCCCAGGGACAGATTTGCTTTTTATGCCTACGGTGTCCTCTAAGTCTTCCGTAAATGACTCAGTCAAATCTAACTCAGATCGACTCCAGTCTGGAGGGAGGAAAAGAAAAAGAAAGATGTGAATCAGCTTACTTTGTTAGAAGGTTTCATTTGTCACTGCAAATGTTTCAACATTATTTCAATTCTTTTTAGGCACAGAGCATAGGAAATGTCATGAAAGCAACAGTCAGGGTCAGTAACTTCATCCTGTTTATGTTAACATGCTTCCATTTTTATGATATTTTGGAAATTGCCTTGGATTGAATTACTAACACTTATATGTTCATTTCTCCTTTGATCACAGGAGGTTAAATGCTCTACTATAAAATACTAAGTTTTAAGCTGTTTAAAGCTTCTGCTTTGCTCTTAGACTTAAACTCTTAGAATGGGCTTTTAAGCTTGGAAAAAATAAGACATTAACCATTCTTGATTTCAACACTTAGAGCATTCACTAGGTTTTTATGTTTAACATAAAATGCAAGTCAACCAATTCTAAATTGCCACTTTTAAATGATACAGCAAGTTCCTTTCACACAAAAAGGTAGTGGTATAGATAAATTGAAAGGATGTTTTATTTCTTAAGGCACCAGAGCATTCTTTCATCAGAAGAACATCTTGCTTTCAGTTTTAATAATATAAGTTACAGAGCAATACACTCCTCAGTAATGCTGTGGATAGCTTACCAGGTCAGGAAAGCTTATTTCCACAGAACAGTTCTATGCCAAAGCCCTACTGAGATAGATATAGCTACTTATAAATGAAAAAGATTAGAGAAAATAATCAAGTTTGTAAGTTTGAAACAGTAAAGGAAATAATGCAGAACTGCTTAGCATAATGCCTGACAGGAGCTGTTGAGTAGAAGTAGGAGAAGTAGACTCTGTGATATTGTCTTCTAAGCTAGTTTGTAATTTTTCATTTAACAGGTGAATGGCTTTTCTACTCCTGGGCAAAACACACACACACATTTAGAAAATATAATGACAACACACATTTAGAAAACCCTTCAGGAGCTGGCTGGCTAGAAGGGACTACCCAACTCAGCGCACAGAATCCTGCCTTAGGCTTTACGCAAATATCATTATTAGGTATTATGTAACTTTTTAATGTGGAAGATTTCATCACGATTTTAATTCCATATATAGGACATAAACTTCATGATTATGACAAATTTTTCTGAAGAGTATCTTTATATGTAGGTAATAAAATTTCAACATATATAATATCTGCTTCAGAGGACTGTTGTGGTAATGAAGCAAAATACATACTTTAATGTACTGTACAAATAAGAGGAGTAATTATTAACACCTTAATGCTGCTTGCAAATTACTTCTTATTTAAACCATGGAATGATTTATTTGTCTGGATATAGGGAACTTCTGACCACCATATCAATTGAATTATCATTTCCTTCAACTCTGGGAAAGTGTTCTTGCCTGTCATATCGAACATATCCTGGAACCATTTGTATTTGCTACATTCCTATACTGTTAGTCTGGTATAGCTCTGAAACTTTGCAATGATGTCTAGCAAGAGTACAGACTTGATAAATAGGCTTTTCACAAATGCAAGAGGCCTAAAGCATAACCTGGGTACACCTTCAAGCAGTTGTCATGGAGTGGGCCTACCGCCATAGGTCAAAGAACGGGCACTTATTTTTTAAGGCAAGGAACATCTATTTAATGCTACACAGAGCAGTCAATTCCATCTCATTTTGGTCATTATTTTACAACAGAGTAGGCATATTGTAAATACCCACCTGAGGAGAGGGAGGCCCCAGACACTGCTATGGAAGGTGTGCCTGAAGCATTTCTGCGATGACTCTTTCTGAGCTCTTCAGAGGTGCTTTCAATGGAAGCCAAACCCATGGAATTTTCAAAACCATGATCCTTCCCACAAAGTAAAAATGAACAAAACAACATTAAAATGACTAGAAGTTACTTTAAAATCCTACCATATAAATATAATTTAGTATAAACACATGTGTATTACTCTTTAGGAGAAACTAATTGACATTTGAAAGACCCTCATCAGGAGTCCATATAACTCCAAAACTTACTATCAGTAATTTCTATAATTCCTATCTAAAATCTACTCCGAGGCTTCTTTTTTTTTTTTTTTTTTTTTTTGGAGACAGAGTCTCACTCTGTTGCCCGAGCTAGAGTGCTGTGGCATCATCCTAGCTCACAGCAACCTCAAACTCCTGGGCTCAAGCGATCCTCCTGCCTCAGCCTCCCGGGTAGCTGGGACTACAGGCACGTGCCACCATGCCCGGCTAATTTTTTCTATATATTTTTAGCTATCCAATTAATTTCTTTCTATTTTTGGTAGAGACGGGGTCTCACTCTTGCTCAGGCTGTTCTTGAACTCCTGAGCTCAAAGGATCCGCCTGCCTCGGCCTCCCAGAGTGCTGGGATTACAGGCGTGAGCCACTGCGCCCGGCCTTCGAGCCTTCTTAATTAGCACAAAAGGTGTTGGAATTATTTTTCATTCACAAAATTAGTGCGTGTCCTAATATAGGGTTAGCAAGAAAGATAATACAGGTACCCCAAATCTTATATGAACTATGTGTAAGAATCTGTCAAGCTTTGCACCCTCAGCATAGCACTCAGGCTTAGAACTCTGTTTGTATATGGTCCTTTGTTTTTCCTCACTCTCAACATGCCCTCTCCTCAACCACCCCTTACTTCCTCCACTCCCAATAAACAGAAGACCACGCAACTTTTCCATCTAGAAGGCTGGCTGATCAGAATACAGTTGGTTACATTTATGTTGGAATGATACTTTCATGTATGGTGCTTATCGATGTTTACAAAGGGATAAAGACTGGGTACTTCCCCAGCTCACAGGAACAGGTGTTTGTGTGTGTGTGTGTGTGTGTGTGTGTGTGTGTGTGAGTGTGTGTGTGGTGTCTACTTGCTATTTATTAATGCTTGTATATGTGGCAGAATTCAGGCCGAGACTTGCCTTTATTGTGACATATGATAAAGGAAAACTCTGTCCCCACTCTGCCCGTGACCACAGGAACTTGAAAGTTGCATCATCCCAAGCTTGCTTGAGCACTAAAAAACTGATTTTGGACCATTCAAGAACTGGGCTGAGGTTAAATGTCTATGCAAATGATATCATGGTGTAATAATGATCAAACATAAAAGAGACTTTTCAATTCTTCCTTCTGTAAATAATCAAAAAGTGCCTTTCAAAGTCCCACAGGAAGGAATCCCCTACTTCTTGCCCACATCTTAGACATTCAGACATACTTTGATGAGCTCACTCCAGAAAGATGTGCCTTTCAGTTGCTTTACATGCTAATCAATTCAGATTCAGCATAGACTGTTTTTAGTCTTTGATTATTCTCCACCACAATAATACCTGTAGCAGAAGGTATATAGCTCCTAACTCCTCTAATTGCCATAGCTACTGAGTTTTATCAAAAGAGTGTGACAGAGGTCAAATTGATAAATTAGTTTAGGTCAACTTTCAACACCTCTAATAAAGCAAGACCAAGTTCCTTAGTGGCAATCATGTTGACGGAAAATTTTCCCACAGGTGATCTGGGAGTATCATTAATATTGAGCACTAATAGGCCAATTAATATTGTACAGTCATTAACAAGCAATGCATGCCCTGAAGGTTGAGGATGTCAAACCTAAAATTAACAGGTCTCATCATAGTAGAAGACAGGTTAGGGACTTCCATGTTCTAATACTTTTCAATTTTAAAACATACTTCTTACATGCTAAAACAGAGAAGAACATTGAAACAAAGAGATGCTAAGAAATGGGAGAAATGAAGAAATTATTGGTCATCATCTAACACTATATACTCTTTCTATTGATCATGAAAGAGCAAATGTGTTTCATAAACTACTGTGCTGTCTTCTTTTTATTCAACAGAAAATATTTCCCTTTGTCTCTCTTTTTCTCTTAGAAAAGATCAGCTTCGACTAAATAGAATGCAAGAGTGAGATCAACATAGACACTGCCTATTATATACATATTCTCAACTCAATTGCAGGAAATTTTTGTTGGGGAGATCTAGGTGTTTAATAAAGAAATATGCAGGTAGGGGTGGTTAGTTTTGAGGGTATTAACACACGACAGGGGTGATTTTCCCCCTAATAATATCAAATGGTACTTGGGAAGATAATCCTTGTTTTGAGAACAAACTTGATTAACTTATTGGTTATTAGACTGATTGTCAGCTGCTACCCACTGGGACAGCTGTATCAGTTGTTCACAATTTTTAAATACTTCTGTGTCTGTTGATAAACAGCACTACTCCCAGTCCACCCTCCCTTTCCTGTGCTCCCCCTCATCCACAACCCCAGGTCTCCCTATAATCCAGGTTAGTACATGGTATGAAAGAGCATCCAAGATACTTCCCTAGCCTTGTGCCAGTGTGTATTACAACTGCTCTATACTCCTGCCATAGCAGTTGCTAAATATTTTGAATATCATTTCTTTTTAGGTTGCCAAAGAAGTGCATGCACCTTTCTGGCTATTGAATGGAATTTGCTTGCTGAGCTTAGCATAAATATTTATGAAATTTTAAATATGCCTTTTATCTCATCAGCAACTGCAATTTAGACTATAAATGTTTAAATGAATTTATTATTGTAACTCAATCTGTCTGAATGCCTTATTGCTCTTCCTTAAAAACATCTATAGAATCTGACTGTTTACCACCTCCGTTGCTATCTCCTTATTTCAAAGCCCAATCTCTCGCCTGGGGTATGGCAATGGCCTCATAACTGGTCTCCTGGCTTCCACTTTTGTTCCCCTACAGCTGCTTCTCAGCACCGCCCCAAGATCCAGCTTAAACAGAAGCCACATCGTGTTACCCTTATGCTCAAAACCCTCTAACTTCCCTCTTCTTAATCAGAGTGAATGCTGGAGTGCATACGGCCATGTTCAAGGCCCTATCCGGGCCTATGATCTCTTTAAACTCATTTCCTGGTATTCTTCTTTGTTCACTCACAACATCTACATTGACCTCCTTGCTCTTCCTTGAATATACCAGGCATGCTCCCACCTCAGGTGTTTATACTGCTGTTTCTCCAGAGGTATTAAAAATATGTTCGAAACCAGTTGAGCAAGGGCACTGATCATTCAAGATGGAGGCCAGCCATAAGTACATGAAGCAGCCTTCTCCATGTGTACCTGCCAAATATCAGCACTGTCTCTGCCTAGAGGAACACCTTGTCCCAGACATCTGCATGGCTAATTCTTTCACTTCCTTCAAGTCTTTGCTTGACCAAGGCCTGCCATGTAGTAAGCTCTCATTAAATATTGGCTGAATCAAAGAGTTGTGGTTCATATATAAAGATTTCTTAAATATAGATGCCAGCAATATGTATGGTTTCCTGCTTAATCAAAAAAAATCTAGTAGATGCTAACTAATTCCAAGGGTGACTTCCAACAGAATATTTAATAAAAGAATATTTTCCATTAAATACTTTCTCCATCCATCTTCTCCCTTAAAAGAAAAAGTGTAATTTAAATTACAAAGTGTAATTTATCATATATAATGCAATTTAAATCTTCACTATGTGTTGACCCCTTATTTTAACAGACATATGAAGAAGAAAATAATAAAAAGATTTCAAGGTTCTACTCTTCCAGATTTAAATCAGTTTGGAAAAATTTTAGTGCAGTCAACTTACGAATATCTTCTCTGAGAAGTAACATGGAGAATCAAAATCAGAGCCTTTTAAAAATTCTTTAAAAAAAAAATTCTTTATGTTTCTTTAAACCATACAGCCATTTAAACCTCCACCATACAAATGCTGACCTTGAACCTGATCTTTCCCCTTCCCTTTCACTTTGGGTTTCCTGCCAGCAGCAAAAGATGTAGGAGGTTCAGTCCCGATAAAGAAGTTTCTACCATTAAACAGCATAAACGCATGCTCTGAGATACAGAGAGTTCAAACCCAGCCACCTTGTGGTGGTGAGGTTGAGTCCCAGAGGTGGGGTGTCCCTTCAAGTTTGTGCACTTACTCTACTGCTGACTGAGGTCACACTGCGTGTGCTTGGGGCTGGTGACCTCTGAGTGCCTGGGGTTATACCATCGTTCCGGCTGCTCTTCAGGGTCCCAGGACCAGCATCCCGGTCATTGAGATCTGATGAACCAATGCTTCCCCTAAATGAAAAAGCATATTATGACTTTAATATGGAAGCAGAGCAGCAACCAAAGACACAGGCAGGAAAAAACTGACATGTGGACGTGTGAACAACACCAAGTTCGTAAGAGCCACTGGAACTGCTCAGCAACTATCACATCACCCTTCTCCTCGAAGTCTTTCAGGGGCTCACTTGGTTTGACCCCATTTGCCTGACTCCAGGGACTTCACCCTGTCTTTCTGACTTTGTTTCCCACTGCTTACCAGCATTCTCCCAGCTAGTCCAGGTTCCTTACTGTTCTCTCAACTCGCCATGCTCACTTCCACCTCCTAAGGCCTTTGCTCACTTTCTCCCAACCTGGTAATGCCCTCTTGGCCACTCTCTGTCTATGCAAATCTCCCCCAGTTTTCAAGGGCAGATGAAGTTCAGCTTTTCCCATCAGGCCTTTTCTGTCAAAAACAGGCCTTGTTAACCTCTGCTTCATGCAGTTCCTATTGACTTACGATCTTTGCCAAGCTACTGTATTTAGTACTCGGTTACACGATATCTTGTTTGGCTTCCTAATTGATCCACTTATGTGGGATTTGGTGCTTCTTTCAACTGTGAGCTCCTTGGGAACAGAGTTCATGTCGTATTTATCATATATCCCCAGCATCTTCATAGTGCCTTGGTGCAAAGAACCCACTCAGTACATGTTTAATCAAAGATTGGAAATTATATTTCATTTCTCTGTATTTTAGTGTCTGACTCACAGTGCACATTTAACAAATGTGGTATAAAAATAATGACATTTGGCAAATGGACTTGAATCACTTTCATGTTTGCTAAAATGATCCAGTTCCATTCAATAATAATAAATGAAAAAAAACAGTCCCTGCCCTTGAGGTGATCACAATTTTCTTATTAAATGGAGCTTCATAAGCAAACATAAGTTTAGACAAATTAGAGTTTAAGAGAAGTATTTGTTCTTATTTTATTCCTTATCCTCAGTAAACACAAAATATGCTAAGTGGTAAAATATAAGCCTTTATAAGTTTCACTCTCTCAATTACTACCTTAATAAGTTACAAGTGCACCTACAGTAATAAACATCATATTGCTAAATCACACACTAGCAGTGGTTAATAGTGATGTGGATTTACAGTTGAGCCAATAAGAGGAGAGACTAAATGGAATAAAGGAAGGATGCTTTCTTTTAAAAAGAATATCTGAATGTGCACATGTCATTGCCAGAAGATAAATCAGGCAGAAGAAACAATAGGCAATGACCACTGGAGCTATCAATCACAACTCACGAATTTCTTCAAGGCTGTGCACCAGAGAAGCCACCAAAACCAAATATGCCTTGATTGAAATTACCAGCCATCATCACCTTCAATAATCACAAATAGCAGCTGCATTTAGTATCTTCTAGGTGTTAGCAAATTTCTGTCTCCCAAAATCCCTGTAAGAAAGGTATTAACATTTCTATTTTAAAGATGAAGAAACTAGCTGGACACAGTGTCTCACGCCTGTAATCCCAGCACTTTAGGAGGCTGAGGCGGGAAGATCGCTCGAGTCCAGGAGTTTAAGGTTGTAGTGTGCTATGATCACACAATTGCACTCCAGCCTTGATAACAGAGACTCTGTCTCAAACAAAAACAAAAGCAACGACAAAAACAAAAAATAAAGAAACTGAGCCTTAGAGAGGTTAAATAATTATTCCATGCATGTATGCATGCATGCGTGTATGTACACACACACATGCACTCATACCCACACATCACCATGCTGCCACACAATTAGCCCATGGACAAAGTCAGGATAAAAACAGTATTGTTCACCCACCCAAAGCCTGTGACCATTCTAATTTCTCATACTGCTTACTCATCATTTCACCAAGATCAAATCATTCCAGCCAGGCAGGTTCTATATTGATAGAATGAACTACGAAGAAGAAGATAATCAACGGAGTGGAGATCTGGGAATTATTTTCTTGGGATTTTATTAAGAAATTTTTCTGGGTAGCATTCCTTTGACACTACAGAGTCTCTGCAGAAGGAATCTCTGGCTTTCTCTTTCCAGAGATGGCACTCTAAAATATAGTACTATGGACTTGGCTCAGGAGGGTCCTATGACTGTGTCTGTTGACTCTGATAAGAGAATAAAATTTTGTCATTAAATAGATTGATACAATTTGGAATTCTAAGTTCCTTGGTGATTTTCCTAAGCCCTCCTACCTCAGGCGCTACATTTCTACATTTGACAACAATTAACCATATTTATACCTTTCCAAGTATTTCTGCTTATCTCAGAGGTCCTACTTAGGAGGGGCTTAGAGACCTCCCCAGTGTTATGCTGTACTGTGACCATAGGTTCTCTAGTCTCAGAATAATATTACTACAAAAATATCTATCCCTACTGTTTTAGGTAAAATCTCCTTGAAAAAGAAAGGCTAGGGGTGAATCTTGCAGAAATGAGCCAAGAAGTTATGAACCAAAAGGACGTGTGGGTATTTCTTCTGCTTGTCTGCGTGCTGAAGGGCCTCCTAGCACCAGGTGGTCCTGAGAAATGTCCCATCATGAATTGGCCTTGCTAAAACCAAAAGTCCTACTTATGTAGAAGCTCTGGCAGAAGTTGATTAATTGTGGTGATGACATTCAAGAGGCTATCCTGTAATAAGGAAAAAATTCTTGTGATTAAAAGTCAGCTACTGTAAATTATTGTTGCTAGAAGCATTATCTAAAAAATGACATATACTTTCACATTTGTCCCTGACATTTACTGTGAGCGTCTCAAAAATATTTTCCTTTCAGTTGATTAGACTAAGAAAAGGTTTAGTCTAAA